CCAGTTCTCCTACCTCTATAGTGAGCGTTAGAAGACTTGATGACTTGTTGGAGCAGCTGGGCAGCAAAATCCTGTTTTCTGCACCAAACAGCAGCCCAGCGCCAGGGAAACGGCTTCCCCAGGCCTGGCTTGCTCTCATCCAAAACGCCATGGACATTAAGGGGCTGATGAGCCCCCCGGCGGAGATCACAGGCATGGATCTCCATGCTCAGGCCCACCAGCGCTCACAAATGGGAAGTCTAGAGCACAAGTCTCATGAGGAGCGGCTGAGGGAACTGGCGTTGTTCAGCCTGGAGAAAAGGAGGCTGAGGGGAGACCTTATCGCTGTCTACGACTACCTGAAAGGAGGGTGTAGCGAGGTGGGGGTCCATCTCTTCTCCCAAGTAACAAGCGATAGGACAAGAGGAAACAGCCTCAAGTTGCGCCGGGGAGGTTTATATTGGATATTAGGAAAAATTTTTTCACAGAAGTGGTTGTCAAGCACTGGAAGAGGCTGCCCAGGGAAGTGGTTGAGTCACCGTCCCTGGAGGTATTTAAAAGATGGGCAGACGTGGTGCTGAGGGACATGATTTAGTGGCAGCCTGGTAGTGCTGGGTTAATGGCTGGACTTCATAATCTTAAAGATCTCTTCCAACCATAACGTTTCTACAATTCTAAATATGATGCTGCAGGGGACACAAGCACCAAACCCAGCAGTTTATTGCCCAAAGTGGGATTGGCAGGTTGAGTAGTTGCTTTAAGAATATATTTTTTAGTAGCTTAGAGATAACATGTCCCTGTTAAAGCCTGGTGGGTGGTTGGATCAAGCCCTGCATATGTTGCTTTAGCCCCACTGGGAGCCTCCATTGCAACCAGGATCACTGCCTTGACCCTGCTGTCCGCCAGCCCTGTCTGCTCCCAGGAAGGGATGTTCCCTGGGGAACCAGGATGCTGGGTGCCATGGTGACAGCTGCCACGGCAAGGACCACCATCCCTGCAGCCTTCAGGGACCGGAGCTACCAGCATGGGGCTGCAGGTGCTCCCCAGGGCCATGGGCAGCTGGTTGAGGACACCAGCCAGGCTTGCCTGGGTGCGTGGGGAGAGCTTGACTTACCAGTGAAGCTCTCCTCACTTCCCAAATTGTCTGTGCCTGCTGGGAAACAGCTTCTTGCATGGGGACTTCTTGCATATCACAGCTGGGAGCACCCCAGGGTAGAAATGAGGGTCATGGGCTGCTCTCACCAGAGCTCTCTGATGCCTTCCTGGTGCTCAGCAGACACAGAGCACAGAGGAGTGGGATGTGGAGCAGCAGATCCCCATGTCCAGATCCCCTAATCACACCTCTACACCCGGCTGCAGAGCCACAGCTGCCCGAGCACGGGCTCAGCCTCGTGCTCCAGTCCCGGCGCTGCTGACAGCAGTGCTCTGGCTCTGCATTGCAGGGAAAACCATCAGCCTCTGGCTGGGCCAGAGCAGAGAAGGGCTGTCAGCTGCCCCATTTCCAGTCCAAGGAGATAATGAAGAGGAACAAACTCCAGGTAAGAGCTGGTTTTCATCCGCCCTCCATGTACATTTGCCATGAGTGAGCGGTGCAGGCAGTGCTGCCCGTCCCCATCCTCACCATCCCCACTCTCCTCCCACAGCAGGAACGGCTGGGCCCAGGAACGTACAACATCAGGGACTTTCTGCAGGAGACACGGCCCTCCAGCGTCCGGGGGATCTGCGACACGAGGGAGCAGCGCTTCAGAGATGGCCGGAGGGTATGTTGCACCCCGACACGGGAGATGCTAGGGAACGGTGCCCGCCGGCTGTGGGACTTGGCTTCGGGCTGACACCTTCAGAGAATGAGCCCTTTGCAAGGATTAGGACCTACCATGGGTGCCGTCTCCTCCTGCTGGGCTGGGGACTGTCTCCCTTACCGAGACTGCCCACGGCCACCCATCTCTCCCGCAGGACTGCTTCCCCGGCCCCGGCACGTACGACCCCCAGGGGAACCCCTACACCCACTTTGAGGAGAGGAACAAGCACTCCGCCAGCACGCGAGGGCTGATGGACAGCAGGACGGCGAAGTGTGCCCTGCCGCCAGCCCTGGCAAGTCCTGCCCCTTGCCCTGGGGACATGCTCATGGGGTGGCCCTGTCCCCCCGCTGAACGCAGCCCCCGACGGCTTTCCCCCATGTCTGCAGGGCAGCGGCCTGGGACCCGGCACCTACAACCTGCGTCTCGGGGGACAGGTCGATGCCCACCGGTGGTGGCCATCATGCCTTGGAGGTGCGTTGCCCCAGGGCCCCGCACCCAGATGGGGTTTCTCAGCGAGCTGTGGCATTGCCGACACTTTGCTATAAGGATGGAGAGCTGCCTTATGCCAGCGTCCATCCCGCTTAGATTCTGCTCTTTGACTTCCCTCGGATTCTGGAAAAACAGACCCACGCAGCAGCGTTTGGGGAGCGGGTGGGCTGCAGACACCGTGCAGGAGAGCAGGATGGTGCCCATGAGCTGCATCAGGGCTGAGCTCTCATGGCACAGGACAGATGGGGTGGCCTGAGAGACCACCAGCAGCTGAGCCTCTCACACCGCTCCCTTGTCCCGGCAGAGGAGAGGCACCGAGCTGAGCACTGACACTGTCAAAGGTTTCCTGGACAAGCTGACGTCGAGGGAGAACAAGAAGAAAGGCTGCTTCAGCACCCTGCCGAGGAACCCAGGCTGCCCCACGGAGAGGATCTTCTGGGCCACGCTCAGCCAGTGCCCGAGGGAGGCGGTCAGTGGACATCGGCACCAGCTGGTGTCACCAGGGTACCTGGGGTGGGGATGCGTGAGGCCCTGGGGGAATGGGTGGATGGCTCTCCAACGTTGTGCAGCTCTTTTTACGAGCAAATGGAAGCATAACAGGTGTCCTTCTGCGCAGTGGGCAGTGGGGCCGGGCTCCTACAACCCAAAGCCCGTTGGGAGATCAGCGTGCTCCAGCCAACCCCCGTTCTGGTCATCTGCCAAGAGATTCGACACAAAGTCCTACCGCCTCTTTACTGGGAACGAGGTGAGTGAACGGACGTGGCAGTGAGGGAGGGACACAGGAACGGTCAGGCTCTGAGCTTCCTCCATGACCATACCTAACCCATTACTAGCACCCCTGGGAGAGGATAACACTTCTTCTTCTGAGCCAAAGGGTGGGCTCTCCTCACCAGCTCTGGCCAGAGGTGTGTCCTCTGAACGGAGCAGCACCCCAGCAAAAGTCCCACATCGGGTGTCTGCCTGTGACAGAAGGGCAGCCTTACCTCAGGAGGTGCTTTTCTCTCCCCATTGATGATCAAGAAAATCTGGGCAACTCGGCCACATACGCGTCCTTCAGAGAGGAGATGAATCCCTCTCTGGTGCTGCTGTTCTTGCCCAAAACTGCTTGCTAAAGGACAAACGGTGAATAAAGGCCCACAGCCCAGCGTCAGCAGCACGCTGAGCGCCCACCGCTGAGCGCCCACCGCCCGTAGGCAGGTGAGCTGGGCTGGTGCAGAGCAGAGGGGCAGCTCAGCAGCGACCACGTTCTCTCTGCCTGCATCCTCAGGCCTTTGCCCTTTGCAAGGGAGGCTCAGACAACCCTTCCCATTAGTTCTGCTCGTCCTCAGCTGCAAGCAAGCGGATGCTCCTCATGGATGAGGTCAGCTGGGTCTGAGTCCTTTTAGGCATGAGGAGCCCCCCGCATCCTCCCAGAAAGTCGTATTTCGCTGCTTGAAAGCCATTTTTTCCTCTAGCAGCATCAGCAGCACGCTGCAGAGCCAGTGCAGGTAGGAGCCCTTGCCTTAGTACCCGTTCCTGGAGTTGTATTCATCTTGGCAGCTTCCCCACAGAGAACTAGAACAAAGCCTAAAGGGCTCAAAGCAGACAGGGAAAGCTTTAGTCGGAAATAGTCCACCTTGGTGAGAGCTGGGGAGCAGGCGTCCACGTGGCTCCTCTCCTTTATCCAGCTGAGTGGGGAACAGGCAACTTGAAAGAGGTCAAGGATGAAGACCTCTTCATAATTGCTGGGGAACTCGACAGATTACATTTCAGTGGGGAGGTTGTGACACGGCAGCCCTTCACTGCAGCTACCAGTGGTGACCGTGCTCGAGCCCGCAGAACTGACTGACTTCTTTACGGATCTCTGAGGAGAACTGCTCGTGAAGGCGACTGGCAGGGCTAACACCGATTAGTGTGTCTTCTCCTCCCTCCCCTGCAATATAGGCCCCGTTTGGTTAAGATATGGCACATATTGTTGTGTTTTGCTCAGCTGAAGCCCTGGCCCCGTGAAGGCACTACCTGTTTTTTCCCCACTCGCATCCCCCACACTGCCTCTGGCTGGGGAAGCACATGAGACCTTCTCCTTCCAGAACCCTGTAGGTGTTGGTCGCTATGATATCACCGAGCATGAAAAATACCCTCGGAAGATGAGATACCAGTCCCTGTACCGGTGTGATGCACAGCGGTACCTGAGCAACTTGAAGCGGGATGCCTACTTGCTGTAAGTCTGAGAGACGAAGGGGGCTGCAGATGGTTTCACACTGGCTTACAGGAAAACCATCTTGAGCAGCTCTGGGGAGGTTGCATGCATGTTGCTGGAACTACAACTGATGTGAGATGGGATGATCGTGTAGTTAAAGCACTGCATCGGGACTGGGAAACACTCGCCAGCCCCCCCACAGGTCCCCTCTGGACAGGGAGGTTGGTATTGCTGCACCTCTCCTCTCCCAGGAAAGTGAGGAGACCTTGGTGCTTCCCCACTGCGTAGGGGTAGTGGGAGGGTTAAAGAACTACTGGCTCCTAAGGCACTTTGCAGATGCCAAGGCAGTTGTTGTACCTTGTGAAATGCAGTTTGCCTGGGGCGGAGGTGTAGGCAGATAGTTTCCATCGAGTTAGAGAAGGCAGCCTGGGAAGGAACTGGGAGAGGGATGGATAATCAGGCTGTCTGGACTCATTCCCAGTGCCGGCACTGGACTGCTCAAGGGCCCCAAACAAAATCACCTTCTCAGGCTGTGCCTTGGTTTACCCATCTGAGGAAGGAAGATAACAAGGCTCACTTTCACCGCAAAGGGCTTTGAAATCGCTAGCGTGAAAACCCTGTGAAGCAGTTAGGAACTATACTAATGAGAGACCTCGGGACAGCCCTCCGCTCTCACCTTTGCTTGTGGCCAAGATTAGCAAACTGCTGCGGTGGCACTACGGGCTGACAGCTCTGCAAAGCTCTTTCTTCATCTCCAGAGAGTAGTTAGAAATCGGTCTTGGCTGAATATAACTCAGCAGCTTTCAGCGAGGCAGCCAGAAGTCAGCTACCCTATGATGGAGAAAGCATAGTGATATCTAGCTTTCAATATTGCCCAGCTTTGTTCATTTTGCACTTCCAGTAGGAATAAAAAAGAAGTCTGAACAGTAGAGCAGGACTTGGAATTCAAACGCATCTCTCTGATCAAATAGCTCTAGCTCCAAAAATCACTTTTCAAGCTACAGCTGTGCTTTCTAGGGAATACCCAGGCTTTTAAGAGCTCTGTTCATCTCCATGCTTGTTAAGACTAATGAGATTAATCCAGCGAATAATTTGAGCCCACTGAATCGCATTCTCTTTCCACAGCGAGCGGCTCAAGCCTGTTGCTAAAAACAACCGGAGTGATTTGATTTCTGCTCCGCATTGGTCAGATACCTCTGAAGAAATCACTGCTGTTTTCCACACGTAAGATGGTGCTGGGAAGCCCAAATCAGCGAGTAAATAGCAGATGCACCAGCAGATGAGACGGGGTAGATGAAAATAGTGTGCTGGCACGTGAGTCAAGAGATAGGAAACAACTAAAGTCTTGTTCTGTGGTAATAAAACACTCTTAGACAATCAGAAGCCTCAATTTTCTGTTGAGCAATTCATTATTTCCACCTTGGCCTTTATAAAAACGACACACTTGAGAAGAGGATGCCAGATACAGCGTGTCCTCCGAAGGAAGCTTTGCGGGCACACACAGCTCATTCAGTATTAAACACTTCCTTTCAAACAACGCTGCTTAAAGAAGTCACACATACCTGTTATGAGCACCGTGAAGACCACAGCTGAAGAGCCGCAGGTCCACCAGTGCCACTCAATGGAGAGCTGCATCTGAGAAAGCAGTACTGTAGCAAAGTAATTAGCGAGGCATTCGTTAAGTGCCTATGTACTTGTCGCGTGCTGCCTTTTAAGTAGCTGTGTGCAAGGCTCTCCACTGCAAGCTGTAACATACAGCTTCACTGGAATTAACAATGCTAATGTTTATAAGCAGCTGGAGGGAATTAGGGGGAATTTAGTGTCATCGTTCCAAATTTTGTCAGGTATTAAAACCTTGAGGCAACGGAGGAAGAGAGGAGAAGAGAGAGGAGAAGAGAGAGGAGAAGAGAGAGGAGAAGAGAGAGGAGAAGAGAGAGGAGAAGAGAGAGGAGAAGAGAGAGGAGAAGAGAGAGGAGAAGAGAGAGGAGAAGAGAGAGGAGAAGATCGTGTCAGTGGTAACAAAGCACGGCCAAACAAATGTACTGAAAGTACACTGGTTCACTTAGAGTAAACCTTTGTGAAGTCTTGCACTAGTGTTTAGACCAGACTGGAATAATTAAATCTAGGTGTAATTACATGCTAGTTGTGGCTGATTAAGTATGCTAATTAATCTGCAATTATCCTTTGGTGGGGGAGATAATTGAACACAGGTAAAACTGCAGTGATTGAAGAAAATCCTGATTATTGTTCTGGAGAGGCAAGGAAAGGAGGAAGGTCTCTGAAGGGAAATGCCTGAGCAGTGATGTGGGCGAGTGTAGGCTACACAAATGCCGCTGGGGTAAAGAAAGAGGATTGTGAAACGCAGCATATGTCAGGGCCAACACACAATGTGATTAAGGGAACGCAGGGGTTTGGCACCTGAACTGTGGTTTCAGTGGGGCTGAGGCATTTGGCAGCCTGGATTTCAGGAGAAAGCCCGGGAGCTTCTCTCTGGGCAGAGAGCATTGGAAGAGGATGCCCCAGCTGTGCCCGAGGGAGGGCAGGAGTACCTCCGACCGAGCCTACAGAGCTGCTGTGAAGGCATCAAGGAAACAGAAGATGTGGATGCGAAACTCCTCAGGCTGAAGAGGGCACTGAATCTTCATCCTTGCTTCTGTTGGCTCATCATTCAAACCAGCAGTTAGTTCTATTAGCGTGAAGTGAGAAGAATGAAGTAGCTATCCATGTCCACGGCTGCAGCACCTAAATCTAAAATGGGGTTTTGTCCCCCTTGGACAAAACCTCAGAGGGAAAGAATGAGGCAAGGGGAGGGAAAAAATCAGGATAATGAGCATCATGAGGCTATGTGGAGTTAGTGGGGCATAATTGAAGGGTTAAGGCTCAGCTATAAGGTGTTTGTTTTGTAAGGGTGTGTCCTGGGGCAGAGATAAGGGTAGACTCACAGACTTCAAAGACATGCCTTCAAAGCTGTTTGCAGCACCAGGCTCCTCACCTCCCAACAGCCTCAAAATCCCTCTGGTCTCTTACCCAGACATCAGCTTCTCTCAGAATTCGCTGACCATTTGTAACAATACAAGAAGCACAAGAAATGATAAACAGAACTGTTGAAAAGTAAGTAATCGTTCATTAAAAGACACCACTTTGAACAGTACGCTGGCTAGATCTTTATTTTAAACAGCCGGTACAATGAAAAATTAAGAGCAACAGCAATTATGCATGTGCGTGTGTGTGACTGATACAGTTACAGTACCCAATCACGTCATACAAAGTTTGCCAATAAATTAAGGAGTGAAAAAACAAATACAGTGCATACCTAAAGATCATCAGTACATAAGTGAGAGAAACACAGTCTAAGTAAAAGTATTTGCATATCCTCTAGCTGTTTTAACATCGCCCTTTAAAAGCTAACCAAATCCATTGCTGCTCTGTGCAGATTATTTTACAAGCACTGGGCTAAATCGTAGCACTGCCCCAGGGACAAGGAAACGGCTCTTGCGCCGCCTTCCTTGGAGGGGCAGGAGGGCAGGTTACACCCCGAGAATCAGTGTTTGCCTTCCTGCATACCCTGAAGCCCGGAACGGTGTGGCAGACACTGCTGGATCACTGACACAGCTCCACCTCCCGCCCGGCTCCGTGGCCTGGGCAGCACTGCGGGTGCTCTGCGCTGGCTGTGTCTCCCCTTGGCAGGCTGCTCCTGCCACCAGTCCCCCGCGTGGGCTTTTAAGGGGTACCTTATTCGCACACAATTTGCCCAGCACGTATCACTGAGTAACAGCCCAAGCTTATTCTTGTTACTGCTTTATCATTGGTTTCATCTGGACCTTAAACATCCATCTAGCAATAAATAAAATCATTGGTTTAGCACTCATATAAAAATTACAACGCCTCCCACTGGTAACTGTTTAATAAGTTCTTCATGTTAGCCCCTGCGCAAGCCTCAAGAAAATGACTTTCTTTTCCCTCAAGCTCAGTAAGGCTTCAAGTAACAATTTTAAGTACTGCTTGGACAAGACGGGCCTGGTTTGGAACCGCGTTTCTGGCTACAGGGTCAAAACATTGCCACGCTTCTACACTCGACTGTATGAAGTGTGTGACTGTGCTGTTTTCACCAGCGTGCAGCAGAAGGGGAAACTGAACATTTACTGTTGATTTCCTCTCCGGGTGACTGAAACAGTCCTTTTACAAAGCCTATCAATCTAATCCAGCTAAAATGAAAAGCAAAAAATGTCACTCGACTCAGAACCAAAGCCTGTGTGTATCAAGACTCACAACAAGAGTTCTCCTTATCCACAGCCACTTGTTTTAACAAACCTTGTGTAAATAAAGCCTTGACTTCCTTTTCCTACCAGCCAGGACAGAATGGTCTGAAATAACCCACATCTTCTTCCAACTGAGTATTTATAAGGCACTAAAATTAAGCATCAACTGAACCCCCCCCCCCAAAAAAAAAAAATCCAAATAAACTGACCTACAATGAGTAAAAACTGAAATTAAAACTTGGCTATATGAAATAGCAGCCATTTTTTCAGTAGTCTACAAAGCCAAAACATCGGTATTTTGGGGCAAAACCCAATGCACTCTTAACCAATTGAGAAGTACCTAAAACCTATATCCAGTTACACTTTAGAATCAAAATCAGTACAAATTAGGCACAAGTAAAAAGCATTTTCTTCACACCTCAGCGCTCAGTTTTGAAACCGAAGCCACCGTTAGGGAGTTTAACTGCCCGGCTGAGATTATAGTCCGGTATAACCCAAAGCAGTACGGTACCACACAACATCCTGCAGCACTGTGCAGCCAGAAGATTACGGTACCATTGCTAAGCTGTTCTACAGGTTACCGACTGGAGGCAAACATTTCAAACGTCGTGATTAATGTGACAATGCGTTCGGCTTTGGCACCTATTTCTGAGCCCTCCTTACCATTTTCAAAAGTAATGTTAAATATAGCTATGGTATACAACTGGTGTTAACTCCAGTATCTTCATCCTTTCCAATTATTTATCTTATGCTTGGAAATAGGTGAATACACCTATACCACGACATTAGATACAAAGGCTAGCACTTAAAAACAATCACTTTGAGTTTGGAAAATTGGTTTTAAAACATATGAAGAAATACTAAACATAAATTTATAAAGCAGGAATTCATACCTTTAAACATCAACAAGAATGAGCTTATTTGGAGAGCAATAAAGCTTTTTTTTTTTTTTAAAGGATATACTGACTAGCTATAGGTAAATTCATCTTTCCCTGATTGCTTGATTAGATCATTCAGGCTCAGTGCCTCGCAGCTTTGCAGATTTTGTCATACACTTCTGGAAAGGCATCCTTGCAATTCATTTGCTCCCTCAGCTTGTGGTACAACGAACCATCAAACATATCCCAGAACTCCTCACGGGTCATATAGCAATCTGCATACAGCATCTGGAAACTGGAGGAAAAAAAAAGAAAAAAAAGAAAGAAAAAAAAAGAAACTGAGATACAGTACTAATTGTGCCACAAGATTTGAAATAGAATATAAAAAAAAAAAAAATCAGGGCAAGGTACGAATAGCAAATATTCAACAAAAAAGCCCCCATCAAAAACGCTTTTTAAAAACCAGCAAATACAGTTGCTCACGTGGATTACACTGGGACACTTGGCCAATTATATTTCATGGATTTAACATTACCATGATCTCTTTTCCAAGAGGAAATAACATGTAATGGTGAAAACAACAGAATACTGTTACAGTCATTTTGGTGAAGGGGAAGATGGGAAAAGAAAGCAACTAAAATAACTGTTGCTTTTACAATTTGGTTGAGAACACTTCTTTAGTCATCAATATCCCGATACTTTCATTAGTTTTGCTACTACAAAGTGAAAAGCACTAAAAGATGTGTATAAAACAGTGGTTCATGTTTAGACATCCTAACCACATGCAGCCAAATCTTTTGAAAACCTGTATTCTAACAACTCGTGTTCACAGAAACACAAGTCTAGAGAGAACTTCAATAGTTCCTCCAAATCAAGAGTCTGGCCCCTTGCACCAAAAACCACACATGGCCTAACCATTCCCTGACAAATACTTTTCTAACTGCTTTTGAAAGCTTGTTTTCCTTTTTCTTCCATTCAAAACCTTTTAATTTCAGCTTCAGAAAAAAGAAAAGTACTTTTTCTGCATGCTTTCTTATGATCCATGGAGGTACAGTCATGGTGTCTCATATTAGCCTGCGTTACAAAATGCG